CCTGGCAATAACCTGAGGTGAGAGTGAATGTAATGACAGGGCCATGGAAAGACCCTCATGTTCTTCAGTTCTACACCATGTCATTGACAGGGGAAGGTATTGGGGAAGTTGTCTTCCCAACATGGATCATAGGGAACATGGATCACCCGCACTCTTCCCAACATTAGCCCTCCATTGGGGATGAAGCTGGAGCAGTGCACGAACCTCCTTTTGCAGATGGGGCACTCGCAGGGCTTCCCTTAGTGGTGCCTCCATTGATGTTTTCTCATGTTAGAGCTGCTGGTGAAGCTCTTCCCACACTCGGAACACTCATAGGGCTTCTCCCTGGTGTGGATGCGTTGGTGGGTGATGAGGTGGGAGTTGCGCTTGAAGCCCTTCCCACACTCAGGGCAGTGGAAGGGCCTCTGCTCTGTGTGAATCTGCTGGTGCTGAAGGAGACTGGAGCTGGTCTGAAACCTCTTCTGATACTGGGGACACTCGTAGGGCCTCTCCCCAGTGTGGATGTGTTGGTGCCTGATGAGTTCTGACCTGTAGCTGGAGCCCTTCCCACACTCCTCACACTCCCCACACTCGTAGGCCCATTCCCCGGTGTGGATGCTTTGGTGGCGGATCAGGGTGCTGCTCTGCCTGAAGCTCTTCCCACACTGCAAGCACTTGTGGGGCTTCTCCCCATCATGAAGCTGCTCATGGACCACCAGCTCTGAGCTTTGGCTGAAGCTCTGTCCACCTTCCTGGCTCAGGGAGGGTCTTTCCTCCTCAGAGCACCCCATACTGGGTTTGCAGCCCCTCTTCCTATGGAATCTCTGGGGAGTTTCCTCTCCGTTGGATTCCTGTGCCCTGGAGTCACTCACAGCCTCTTCCACGAGGTTCTGCTGTGGGGATTTGTCATCCCTGGTCCCAGTCCTCAGCTTCTTGTCTGGGGGAGGAAAGAAAAGGAGAGGATGGGATTTGCCTCCGTGCCAGAGGGAAGGGCAAGGAGATCCCCCCAGTGCATCCCCAGTACGATGGTGTTGGCAGCAGGGTTGTCCTGCAGCTGGGGGCTGGGCTGGGCTGGGAGATGGAGCAGGAGAGAGGGGGAAAGGGGCACCGACTTCCTTCTCACATGCCTGGGTGTCCTGGGGATCCTTCTTGTTCCTCACAGCCTCCTTTTCAGTCTGGCTAAGGTTTGGGGATGGGAAATTCTGTTTTGGGAGGAAAACAAGGAATGAGTACATTGAGATTTGCACTGGGTTTAAGGCAAACCTGGGAAAGGGTGTAAACCAGAATTACAATTTAAAAGAAAATGAAGATCAAGGCAACGATATAGAAACACTGCCTTAAACTCACAGAGTCAGGATATAACCTGACACCCTGTTGGTCAGAGTGGTGGCAGCAGTGCCATTAAAGTGTGGCTGCAGTCCTGTTGGAGTGATCGACGTGATTCTGTCAGAGCAGTGATCCTG